CCATTTTATCGGTAAAAGGCCAGTTGGATGGAAACAGGCTGTAGACAGCAATTTTCGCAAAGTTTTCTTTACGCATATTCTCTTTGTCAATAATAAGGGGCGGACGAACTCGCTGCCGGCCGCCTGGGATGTGGAGGGACGGCTGCCGTCCGTGAGGGAGCGGAGGAGTCGCCACCGTTCGCCTGAGGCCGGAGCCTGCTGCCATCCGCCATGATGGGGAGGAGCAGGGAACAGGGGACTCCTGCCGGTTGCCCGAACCCGGAGGAGCTGTCGCCGTCCACCGGGCGGTGGAGGAGTGTCGGGCCGTCCACCGAGGGCTCTCCAGTGCCGCCGCCAAGCACCCCGGAAGAGTTTACCCAGCTGGTGGAGGGCCGAGCCGCAGTGTGTCTGGGAACCCGAAAAATATATATATTTTTTTTCCTCTTTCCCCTCTCTCATCGGACCAGGCCTGGATTTTATTTAGTGTTTTGGTTCTGTTTGTGCGCGGCAGTTGTGCGCGAGGGGCTGTCGCGCTATTTTGTGTTGATTTTATTGAAGTTTTGTTTGATTGTTTGCCGGTTCCCGCCTCCTTCTTCCCGTGACTACGAACTTTGTTACAGGCACTTAGGTATCTTTTATTTTCCTTTCGGCACACACTCTCCCTACACCTTATTTTTCCCACATCTATCATGTGTTTCAAATACATTACTGTTTTCTCTCAACAATGCTCTAATGCAGACAGCAATGCAACCTTGCTAACCATCGCCTTATCTACACCTCTTCTACTGCACCCATCTCTTTTTCCTGTGGGTCTCTGGAATTGTCAGTCAGCTGTCAACAATGACTTCATTCCATCAATTGCTTCTCAGTCTACTCTTAGTATCTCAGGCTTTAATGGGACCTGGATTCGTTCTGAAGGCTCAGCAACCCCTGCTGATCTACTACTGCTTCTTCATGAACATCAGACCAAACTCAGTTCAGCAGAGACAAAATGGCACAAATCAAAAGATCCATCTGACCTGAGTATATGTCAGTCTTTCTTGTCATCTTTCTCTGTTAAAGTCCATGCTGCCAAATCTTCCTATTTCCACAACAAGATCAACAGCACTTCAGACACATGTAATCTCTTTAAACCATTCAATTCCCTCTTCTGTCCCCCTCCACCACCTCTTTAACCGCTGATGATTTTGCTGCATTCTTCACAGACAAAACTAAAACCATCAGCAGTCAGTTCTTAGCTCCAAACACACAGGAACTCAAACCAACCACATCCAATGCTAAAACTCCCCTCTCCCCCTTCTGTACAAATTCACCAAGCTATCTCTTCTGCAATTCTACCAGCACTCACACATATCATCAACACATCAGTTTTCACAGGCATTTTCCCCACTGCATTCAAGCAGGCTCAGGTAAACCTACTGTTAAAAGAAACTACATTTAACACTTCTCTTGTAGATAGCTACAGACCTGTCTCTCTTCTTCCATTCATAATGAAAACACTTGAATGAGTTGTTTACAACTAGGTATCATTATTTCTTTAGCAGCATAACCAGCTGGACATTAACCAATGAGGTTTCAGAAGCAGCCATTCAACTGAGACTGTGTTACTGTCGGTCACTGAAGCCTCGCGGATTGCGAAAGTTGATTTCAGATCATGTGTTCTCTTTCTGCTGGATATATCTGCGTTTGACACTGTAAATCATCAGATCCTCCTGTACACCCTCTCTTCACTGGGCATCACAAGAACTGCATTTCATTGATTTGAATCCTATCTCACAGGTAGGTCTTTCAGGGTGGCCTGGGGAGAGGAGGTATCCAAAGCAAATCAACTGGTCACAGGGGTTCCTCAGGGATCAGTTCTTGGACCCCTCCTCTTCTCCATATACACTACATCACTGGGACCCATCATACAAGTACATGGTTTCTCCTACCATTGCTATGCTATCTTCCATTTCAACCAGACGTTCCAATGTTGGCTGCACGAACTTCAGGCTGCTTGTCGAACAACTCGGCATGGATGAAAGAACATCACCTACAGCTCAACCTGGCAAAGACTGAGCTTCTCGTCTTCCCTGCCACGCCGACTCTATAACATGACTTCACCATCCAGCTAGGTTAATCAACAATTGCTCAATCAAGTTCAGTCAAAAATCTTGGTGTAATCTTTGATGATCAGCTGACCTTCAAGGACCACATTCCAAAGACAGCTCTATCATGCAGATTTGCATGGCACAACATCAGAAAGACCAAGCCCTTCCTAATAGAGCATGCTGCACAACTTCTTGTTCAGGCCCTTATCATTTCTAGTCTGGACTACTGCAATGCTCTTTTGGCTGAACGTTGATCATGTACAATCAAACCTCTACAAATGACTCAGATTGCAGCAGCACGTCTCATCTTCAACGAGCCCAAAAAGGCCCATATCACACCTCTCATTATCTCCCTGCACTGGCTGCCGGGTTGCGGCTCACATCAAGTTCAAGATATTGATGATTGCATAAAGAAAGGACAGCCACAGTCTCAGCACCCTCCTACTTCCATTCACTCTTACGAATCTACATCCCCTCCAGAAGCCTGAGATCTACAAGTGTGTGACGCCTCGTGGTACCATCAAAGAGAGGCACAAAATCACTTTCCAGAACATTTTCGTTCACCATTCCATGCTGGTTGAATGGTCTTCCCACGCCCATCTGGAATGCTGAATCCCTGACATTTTCAAACACAGAGAAGTATCAAAGACTATAGAATACCCAAGACGTGTCACTAGTTTTGAATGGGGAAAAATGCAACGCTCAAAATGGCTGCTCCATTGACGGAAGACCCGTCAATGGAGAGTAAAAGAGTAAATCAATACTTCTGAGTAAAAGAGCCAATCAGTGAGGACTGAGGAGGCACGGCGATGTGGGAGAATATACAAGGAACAGTCTTTAATGAATCAAACAGGGAAACACACATATAGCACACGGAATCGACGATTAACACTGGACGCTAGACATGGGAAAACACAGGGCTTAAGTACTCAGAACTAAACGAGGAGATTACCGGGACACAGCTGAAACAAATGGAACTCAATGGGAACAGGAACAGGAAAACCAAATATGGGCAGGAAACCCGGGAGAAACTAGGTCATGGGAAACATGGAACACGTGGGGGAGGAAAACAAACACAAAACAGTCCATGACATGACAGAAACTGTTATACAGTTGAATTTATTTATACCATAGTCTCATAATTGAAGTGTAAATTCTGCAGATTACATCATTGTCAAGTATTGTACTGTCAGCAGTAGATTAAACTCTTGTCAGTTGTAGATCAGTTGTAGATCTTTTTTATGCCCAAACATACACACTGACTAAAATTCAAAAGATGAAAAAACATAATAGGACCCCTTTAAAACAATCTCTGAATATCCCTTGGACATACCTAACGAAATTCCTAAAAATCCAAGAGTTAATTTTATCTAAAATTTGTAGGTTTTTTCCACTAATAGAAATTCAATTTTTTTAAATATACTTTTTTTGTGTGTTAAATTTCAATCAAAATATTTGAGAATGAACAAATTAAACTGATCTGTTTCAAATATCATAATTATTACTTAATTCATATTTTTTAACAAAAACTAAAAAAATAGAGTAAGTTGAACTCAGTGACTGAGCACTTTAATAAGGATTAATATCTATTTAATTTATACATTATTTTACATTTGTTTACTTTGTTGTTGTGGAACTAAATGTAGTTACTCAGATCTGCAAAATTATTTTACTTACATTTACTCAATTCATAAGTTATATAATTTATTTCACTGCTTTAAAATGTACTCAAATATTTTAAGTGAAAACGTTAGGGCTGTCAATGTTAACAAGCTTAAACCTAACTCTAACGCATGCGATTAATTCAAAATTCTTAACATTAAAAAAATAAGGCAAATAATGTAAATTACTGAAGCACATGAAATTGCATAATTAAGCTCATGCAGATGAGTTTATCACACTAAGCATCTACAATGGCACAAGCACCTGTAACCCTGGTAGGCATACATTTCTGTTTTAATTATTTTAACCTTTACTAACCCGGTTTCATTTCTCTGTTTGTGATCAGATAATTTTAAGCTACCAAACTCCGGGAAAGACATAAATCCTGAATGTGTGTGGAAACAACTGAAATGTGCCTGTATACAAATGTATGCGTACTTTTGGAAAACTCTTGTGGGGCCTATGCCCCAGTAGTGATCAAACTATAGAAATGCTCCCGCTGTCAACATCATGATTTATCACTGCATTGTTCAGTCAAACATATTAATACACATTTGGTGAAAAAAATATGTTTTTTGTTTTTGTTTTTGACAGATACACTTGCTGACCAGAAAAGACTCGATTGAGACCATAATGTTACCTATTGCAAAAGCCATGCTGGCTTTGGGTGCTGCATTTCTGTGGGTTGCAATCACCATAAACTCCACCTCCACTAAGAGTGAGATACACATCAATACTGAAATCTCATACACAAACACCAAGAGTGAGGAACACTAATATAATGATTGTGTGTGTGTGTGTGTGTGTGTGTGAGTGTGCACTCTGAACTAAAGGCACTACCTACTGATTCTCCTATCTCACAATCCACAAAGTATATTTTATTCACTCATGAAATAGGATATATAGTTTTGTTCTATGCACACATTGAATACAGAATCAGTACCTAATAAACTGCTGTTTGAGTGTGTACATGTCGCTGCTGTGTTTCCGGACAGGACAGAATAGTCGGATTCCGATATGTGTTGACAACGATTCTGTGGAGCGTCCGTTCAAGGAAGCCGCCCAGAAGGCACTAAAAGCCATGAGGAACACTAATATAATGATTGTGTGTGTGTGTGTGTGTGTGTGAGTGTGCACTCTGAACTAAAGGCACTACCTACTGATTCTCCTATCTCACAATCCACAAAGTATATTTTATTCACTCATGAAATAGGATATATAGTTTTGTTCTATGCACACATTGAATACAGAATCTGTTTGAGTGTGTACATGTCGCTGCTGTGTTTCCGGACAGGACAGAATAGTCGGATTCCGATATGTGTTGACAACGATTCTGTGGAGCGTCCGTTCAAGGAAGCCGCCCAGAAGGCACTAAAAGCCATTGGTTCTAAACGCATACTGTCTGCTTCCTACAAGAAAGCGAACCGGGGGCAGCATGTCTTCAACAATGGACTCCTTGGGTTCCACCGCAGTGTTCTGCAAGACCTGCTGAGAGATCTGGGTGGCTATGATGAGCAGCTTGAGAACCTGGTGCAGGACCTCATGATCCCCCTTAACCAAACTGTACAAAATGCAATTAGCACAATGGTGGCCCACTTCAGGTCAGTGTGTTTTTGTGTGTGTGTGTGTGTGTGTGCAGGTTGGATGAGTGCTACAGTCTGTAGACCAGAGGTGCACAAACTTTTCACAACAAAGAGCCAAAAGTCAAACTTAAAAGTTGCATTATATCAAAATGTTATATTAAATGTGTTAAAAGTTGTTAGACTGCTCAATGTTTAAAAATTCTGAAATCATAAATCAGGGGAACCAAGTTTGTTTAACTAACCCAGTTTCATATGCAAAGTTTTATAGTACAATAAAACTTTATTGCTGTTTTTAATGTTTTAATAATTTTTTCAACACCAACTGACATTTACAAAATACATAAAAAATTAAGAAAGAAAATAATCTCAAAACATTAAGAAACTAATTGAACTTCATGTGACAGAACATTTACTGATTAAAATATAAATTAAGTCTATTATTAATAAGGGAAGAACCATCTTTAAAGGGGACATCGAATACAAAATTCACTTTTTAACATGATGTTTGCATATAAATGTGTCTTAGCAGTGTGTAGACACAACCACCCTACAATGAAAAAAATCCTTTCACTAAATGTTTTTATTCCCCAAAAACCTAAACAGTCTCAATAATCAAGCCGTTGTGATTTTCTGAGCAATATGACGTCATATTGCACACCCCGCCCATGACCACTGACGGACTATCCCATATTAGCATTTCTTCTCAGCCAGTTATGAGCTGTCCACAGTTTTCTCCGCACTCAAACAGCTGCAGCAAATATATTAGGTGTGTTTGACTTCATGCAGCGCTGCGCAGCGCAGACTGATCGGGGAGAATAGCCGCTTGCGGTCGGGGATGGAATTGAAAGTGGAAACGTCAATTTGGACACTTTCTGCTCCCGGTAGTGATGCTCTCGCGGTGTTTGCATACACATCACAGATTAAGTGAATAAAATGCAATATTTGTCAAATACACAGACATTTCAGAAACGTTTTCATGAGCAACAGAAACACTTTTTATATACTGCTTAATACAGCGCCATCTGTTCAAGAATAAAGTTCAGCATAAACATATACCATTTAAATAGCAGTATACTGTATATGCTTTTATCAGTGTTTTATGATAAACGTGACTCAGTCACTCAAACAGCTGCAGCAAATATATTAGGTGTGTTTGACTTCATGCAGCGCTGCGCAGCGCAGACTGATCGGGGAGAATAGCCGCTTGCGGTCGGGGATGGAATTGAAAGTGGAAACGTCAATTTGGACACTTTCTGCTCCCGGTAGTGATGCTCTCGCGGTGTTTGCATACACATCACAGATTAAGTGAATAAAATGCAATATTTGTCAAATACACAGACATTTCAGAAACGTTTTCATGAGCAACAGAAACACTTTTTATATACTGCTTAATACAGCGCCAGCTGTATACAGTTCAGCATAAACATATACCATTTAAATACCAATAAAGTGGCAGTATACTGTATATGCTTTTATCAGTGTTTTATGATAAACGTGACTCAGTATAACATTGCGACTACAGTATAAAAGCTTTTACTGTTCTAAAAACACAGATTTGTGAGAAGTATTGGAATTGAAGATGTTAGAATAAACTTGAAACACACGTCATTGTTGTCATGTGGTGAATTTGGCCAATTGCGAAACAGCTGTGTCGTCATCAGCACTCCTGCAGTCGCTCTGAAAAACTTCAACTCAACTTCAACTTCATTTATTTATATAGCACATTTAAATGCAACTTTGTTGCCCAAAGTGCTTCACAAGTTAAGGATAAAATAAAACACACACACATAAATTACACACAAGTAAACAAACATTTATAAAAGGCCAGACTAAAAAAATGTGTCTTCAACTGGGACCTAAAACTTCTATAGACGGAGCCTGCCGAATATACAGGGGAAGACCATAAATGTGGACCTGCTACTGAAAAGGCGCGGTAACCTTTTGACTTCTTTTTGGACCGAGGGACAGTCAGCAACAACTGATTTACTGATCTAAGTGACCTAGCTGGAGTGTGAGACCCTAAAAGATCGCTAATATAATTTGGGGACAAGTTGTGTAAAGTTTAAAAAAAACAATAATAACATCTTAAAATCAATCCTATACCTGACTGGTAGCCAGTGGAGAGACGATAGCACCAGAGTGATGTGTTCCCTTTTTTTTGTGCCGGCCAGAAGCCTAGCTGCGGCATTCTGCACAAGCTGCAATCGAGATAGTTGCCGTTGACAGATCCCTTCATAAAGTGAGTTACAGTAATCCAGTCGCGAAGTGATAAAAGCATGAATAACAATCTCCAAATCTTTAAAACTCAGAAAAGGTTTTGGCATAGAAATAATTCTAAGCTGATGAAAACTGCTTCTTACAATCAAATTAATCTGTTTATCAAAACTGAGAGATGAATCAATTATGACGACAAGGTTTCTCACACTGTCTTTCACTGTAATTTCTAAGGGGACAAGATCTTCTCTTTAGCCTTAGAAGGACCAAATATTATGATCTCAGACTTTTTTTCATTAAGCTGAAGAAAATTATTTGAGAGCCAACCTTTAACCTCATCTAGACATTGCAACAGGGACTGTAAAGACTGCTCATTTCCAACCTTAAGCGGAAGATACATCTGTGTGTCATCTGCATACATGTGATAAGAAATGTTGTGACAACGGCAAATAGACCCCAGCGGGCACATATATAAAGAAAACAACATAGGGCTCAAAATAGAGCCCTGAGGAAGGCCATATTTTAAGGGAACCACAGAGGATGAAACATTTGCCAAATTAACAAAAAAAATTCTATCCGTAAGATATGATTGAAACCATTTCAAGGCAGTTCTCCAAAACCCCATCTCACACTCCAGCCGTTTTAAAAGAATCGAATGTCTACAGTGTCAAATGCGGCACTGAGATCTAACATAATTAAAACTGCAGCCATCCCAGAATCAACTGCTAATAATAAACCATTAAACACTTTTAGCAGAGCGGTCTCAGTACAATGATCAGCTCTGAAACCAGATTGGAATTTGTCCAGGAGATCATTCTCCCCAAAAAATGGGGTAATTTGAGTCAGAACTACCTTCTCTAAAACTTTAGATAAAAATGGAAGTTTAGAAATGGGACGGAAATTGTTCAACTCTGTAACCTCAAGGCCAGGATTTTTAATTAAAGGAGAAACCACTGCTTGTTTAAACAGAGATGGAACACAACCCTTGGATAAGGAACTATTCACAATGGAAAGTATACTACTGCCCATGGTGTCAAACAAATCTTTTAAAAACTGTGGTGGAACGGGATCCAGTAGAGAGGAAGATGATTTAATGTGCTTAACTAAGTCTGCTAGGACCGGAAGGGAGACCTGATCAAATGTACAAGAACTTAGCACAGGAGAATCGAGAACAATATTAGAGGGGACAATCTCTTTTCTAATATGGTCAATTTTTCTCACAAAAAGGTTCAAGAAATCCTCACAAGTGGAATCTGAAGAGGGTGTTACAGCTGGGTTTAGCACAGAGTTTATTGTGCCAAACAATGCTTTTGGACAATGGGCAGTTCTATTAATTAAGTCTGAAAAATATTTTGTTCTTGCCACTTTGACTGCACGCTGGTAAGTGCTAAGAGTATCTTTTAGCATCTCATAAGAAATCTGTAAACTGTCTTTTCTCCATCTACGTTCAGCTTTCCTACAGGCCCGTCTCTAAGAGCATGAGTTTCATCATTAAACCATGGCTGAGACTGAGGTTTAGACCTTTTAAGTCTGAGTGGAGCCACATCATTCATAATGTCCACACATACAGAATTAAAAACAGCAGTCAGTTCCTCTATATCTAGAGAGGATCCAGAAGCTTCAATGATAGCAGGCCCTGGGCTTGCCTCATAAGCCTCAGCAAAACGCTTTGCTGTGATCTCATTTACAGGACAGAAATAACAGTCAACAGATGCATTATTCTGAAAAAGGATGGTGTATAAAATTGATTTTAAGATAAAAATTAGACGACAAAGAATTAACTTGACGGAGCTCAAACTCAAACCACACGGCAGCAACAAACAGGAAGTGACGTCTTTTTCAAGTTTGTGTCTCAGATAACAGCTGGCAGATCAATATTAAACATGAGAGATCTATGGTCAGATATACAGTTGTCCACTATGACCACATTACTAATGGACAGACCCATAGTTAAAACTAAATCAAGAGTATGTCCATGTCTATGGGTAGCATCACATATAGATTGAGTTAAGTTAAAAGATTCCACAAGATCAACAAACTGCTTTATTAATGGTTTCAACGAGCAGCATACATGGATGTTAAAGTCCCCAATGATTAATAGATTGTCAGTGGTCGACACAATAAAAGAAAGAAAGTCTGAAAAGTCCTAAATAAAATCCATATTTGGGAGGGCGATAAATTAGTGTACAGTAAAAGACTATTCCAGTTTAAACAGCTGCAGTTCAAAACTTGTGTATTTTTCCACTGAAAGAGTGGTGCCTAAGAGTGCTTAGACTACATTTAAATCTGTCCTTAAAAGGTGTGACTACACCCCCACCTCGACCAGTGGATCTTAGGGGCATTTAAAACATTATAGTTAACGGGCACCAGTTCAGAGAGAGAGCAGGTGTCCACCAGATCAAGCCATGTCTCGGTTAAAAACAGAAAATCCAAATTCTGAGAAGTAGTAACATCTTGAAGAATAAACGTTTTATTTCCCACTGACCTCGCATTCAGCAGTGCGGCTTTAACCGTACAGAGATTCCGGGAAGGTTAGGTTAGGTTACTGGGTTACAGGTTACAGGGAATGTGGATGCACTGTCGCCGAGTATTTCAGCTCCTTTAGAAGACAGAAATCCGACCGGACACTCCGCCTGTGCGTTTTTCGCTGCAAAATCCGAAGTACTGGCACGGGCTGCACAGGGTACGCCGGTAGGAGCCATGTCCATAGAAGCTGATAATTTGCACGGACTTCGCATACATTCCTCGCATTTCTCGCTAACCTTCCGCCACGCTTTCCTCGTCTTTTATGCCGCTTCTTCTTG